AGCTCTTGTGCTTGTTGCTAGGCAAATGCTCTGCCACTTGAGCCACAGTCCCTTTTGCTTTTAGTTTATTTTTCAGGTAGAGTCTTGTGCTTTTTCACCAGGACCAGCGTCTGACATGATTCTCCCACCTACACCCCCCTAATAGCTGGGCTTGCAGGCATGTACTACCACACTCAACTTGTTTTTATGGTCAGGTCCACTACTTCTGCCCTATCTGGCCTTGAACCATGATCTTCCTATCTCCACCTCCCACGTAGTTGGGATCACTATACCCATCCCTTAGTTGTATCTTTTAAAGTAAAAAAGAAATTGTTGAACTTTCAGCAGCATGGATGTGAGAGAATTGATCCAAGATCCCACAGAGAAAATGCTATTTGTAGGCTCAGTGGGCAGTTTTATAATAAGAATGATTGAAATTATGTCATTCTTCAAAAATATTCGAGGTTTTTTTATATGTGTCTCAAGATACTTTTACCTCTGAAGATGGTGATCTAGAATAGCCTAGTCTAGGAAAATTTTTTCAAATAAAATAGTTTCCTCTGGCCATTCTTGGCATAAATGAATATATACTCCATGAGTGTACGGTGACCTGAGCTCATTTGTAAGCTCATTGTACAGTTATTACATAGGGCCAAAGTGAAGCTGGTCAAAATGGAAGGTTATTGCACTGGAGATGACCTACTTTCTCCCACTCATTCAGATATATCCAGTTTTTTCCTCCAGAGTTCGAAGATATCATAGGATTTTTTTTAACTTAGGTAGTAGATGAGATTTAAAAATGTAAAGAAAATGCTAGCAACGAAGAAAAGTATCCTACACTCTGGGAAGCACTCCAGAGGTGTGACAACTTATAGAATATTCCATTAACACCACTGTAGTCCTATGGCCATTGAGGCACATGGAAGGCCAGGACCCTCTATGTTTTAGTAATTCTTTTGCCTTTTGAGCTTATATAAGTAGCTTTGCTTCATCTAAATGTAGAAGGTACATACAATGGAGTTCCATTGTAATGTCATCTGTTTTCCTCATTTTTTATATACCCGTTTTAAGTTCTAAGTTTTAGAATTTGCTCAATAGTTTTTGTACCTTCTCAATAGATAAGCTACATAAGTCCCTGTGTTGTGCCTCGCAGATTGTAGACAATCAGTAAATGCTTGTCATTTTCCTCTTCTTTGGAGATCTCATTTTTTCCTTCAGCCTCAGGTTTGACCTTGACGTGAATAGATTCACAAAGGAATCCCAGTGCTGCCCTTTCCAGTGCATTATAGTCTTTGTCTGACTTGTAGGGAGCTAGATTTTTTTTTCATTAAATTCATTTTATCTAGAGTAGATTCATTACCCTCCCTTCTGCTTTTCCTAATCTTAAGGTAAAGAGAGACAAGTTCAAGTGTGATCACCAGCAACTTTTCTTAGTGACCTTGAGCATTTACCATCATATATAGGTGTGCTAGATGCTTTTTAAACTTAACTCCCACTCATTTAGTCCATTCAACAAACAGTTTTACCTCCATAATAACATACTTATTGAGTGTAATTTAGATAAGTAGTCTTGGGGCTAGGGATGTAACTTGGTGGTAGAATGCTTAACTAATGAGTGACTATAATTTGCCAGCTATGAAAGTAGTAGGTGAGCAATGTGGACAACATCTCTGTTTTCACAGACCCCGCAGTCTGCTAGAGAATCAAGGCAAATGAACAACACTTAACACTGCTGTGTTTCTGGAAGCAGAAGTTGGATGCAGCCGAAGTGTAGGCAAAGGAAGGAGGGCCAGAATGAAGATTAGAGCTCCAAGTATAGCTCACAGCGTGAAATCTACATGAACCTGTCAAAGAACTTGCATTTGATTCAGAACACAGTAGAGGAAGAATGAGGGGAACTGATGGGAAATTAGAATGGGAAGACATTTGCAGACTTTGAGTACTGTGTTCTTTCTCTAAAGTGGTGGAGGTGGTGATGGTGACCTTCAGGTTTTACTTGTTCATTCAGCAGCTATTTATTGAGGACTTCCTTTCTGAGAAGGGTAACCAATATGTGACCCAGGAGATCCACACACTCCAGCATTTATTCCATGTTCTCCTTATCAGATGTATTTCTGAGATACCCATAATGGTAATGGCAATCTTTTTCCATTGTCTATACTCAAGCCTGGGAGGTACTCACCAAGGAATTAAAATGGCAGCCTCTGGCAGGTAATTGCAGTAATATGTAAGAGAGAAGTGACCATGGGTGAGTACAGACAATGAAGGATTGAAATTGCCACCATGGAGATCTCAGAAATACAACTGATGAGGGAAAGGTCGAATAATTTCTAAAGCATATGAGCTCCTAGGTCACGTGTGGAGACATGAATGTATGGTAACACTGCTGTCTATGCTTCTGTGGCTTCCTATACTCAGATGTGGGTGTACCATTCAAGTGACCTTAGGTGGGAAGTTTTCCTGGCAAATGTAATAAAAGTACCAAGCATAAAAGAGTTGAAAATGTTAGCAAAATAGTGGAAGACAGTATGGCCCATAAAAGTGAAGATATGAAAAGCAGATGGATAAAAGGAAAGTAATCAATGCCATGGAGGTCTATATGATCATAGATGTGGGAGGAATAGCTAAGTGGGAGATCTAAAAGGATCAGAGATCAATTCCATACTAGGAGTGAAACAGCTCCTAGTGAAGGCAGAGTCCAGGTGTGCCCAGTCCAGAGGACAGAAATGGGGTGTTAAAGTCAGAGAGCTGTGGTTCTTGACAGGGGCAGTACTGCCCAGTAGGGAACATCATGGACATTCCTCAGGGCATTTTGTTTTTCATGTCAAAATGCCTGAGGAGCCAAAACTGTCAACTTGACATTTCTGTGGAACAAAGATCTGATATGTGACTTCCAGATGCTGCAGTAAACATTCAGAAACTGAAAAGATGACTCAACGTGGTAGGGCTTCTAGATAAGAGAGAACCTTTAGTGATACTGAAGCCCTGTCCCATCTCCCTAGGTAGTGTTTTCACACCACTCTTAAAGGTCAAACCCCATCATGTGTATTATGGTCTTCTCTTTGATAGTCTTGACTTGGCATCTTGTTTCCATTAAGGTCGCTTCCCTCCTTCTTCATCATTGTCTACTAAACTTGGGTCTGTGGTTTCTATCCAAATGTTTATTCTAATGTCTCCCTGTACTTTTGGGCTCTCATTTTCCTTGTACAGAATCACTTTTGATCTTTTAAATCCAAATGTTAATTATAAGTAGTTTCCACTCATGGTTATTGTAGCATTATTCACAATAGCAAAGTAATGGAATCAGCCTAGGAGCCATCAACAGATGAATGGGTAAAGAAAATGTGGCATATGTATGCTACAGAATATTATTCAGCCATAATGAAGAATGGAATTGTGTCATTGCCAAGAAAATGGGTGAAACTGGAGATAATTATGTTAAGCAAAATAACCAGACTAAAAAAGACACAAGCTGCATGTTTTCTCTCATACACAGAATCTATATCTAAAGAAAAAAAAGACACGAACATAAAAGGCTGACTTTTGTGGACAGTCAACTAGTGGGAGGTAGGAGGAGAAAAAGAGAGGGCAAGGAGAGGAAGAATATGATCAAAGTACATTGTATCTATCTTCCACATATCATTGTTAGAGCAGCATATTGTTTGGAGAGGGGAACTTATATGTGTTAATAAGTTATATTAGCAATGAACTCCACTTAAGTATATCCATAGGATTCATGGAGCATTGGAGAATAAAGGGAACTTGCCAGAGAAAAGGTACCTGAGAACAGTGTGAGGAAATGTGGCAGGTGGTAGTGAATGACCTCCAGGGAGACAGCTGTTTTTATGCAAGGGTTATGGGGCAAGATATTGCAGTAGAGGAAGAAGGCACAGTCCCCAATGCCCACCTCTTCATCTTTACTCACATTCTTCCCTCCACCCAGAGCGCCCACCCCACTCCTCTCTTTTTCCCTCTTACCTCCCACTAGTTAACTGTCCCCAAACAATGATACCTAGAAGAATAGGTGGGCAAGGGAATGAACAGTTAAGTGCCTGGGCTGTGTGCTAGTCACTGTACAGGATTTCTTATCCATTCCTCCCTAAAATGACAGTGGCATCCGATCAAGCTCAGTGGGTTCACCTTGTCCAATATCACAGGAGAGGGAGTGATAGAGGGAACAGGTGGGCATCTAGCTCAGGTGGGCTGACCCTGCAGCCTGTATTCTTCCCACTGCACTACACAACCTTTAAGGGACCCCAGTTGGCAGAGCTGTGAGAAGCTTTGAGATGCAAAGGGAATGCTAGCTTTTTGAGGCTTGTGCCCTTCCAACTTTTGATTTCAGACTCCTATTTGCCTCATTATCTAGTTCAGCCAGTCACTTTCTTTGAATGCAGAATTTATCATTTTTTATTATTCACAGCATTCACTGTATGTCTTGCTCAGTATAAATGTTCAGTACATATGCTGTTTATACGAGTTTTCAGTTGCTTATAGTGTAGGAGAAGATCTCCATAAAAATAAATGTGACCATGGATTTGTAAATTTACAATGCATAAGTGATTTTGCATTCAAAATAAAGTCAGTTGTACTCTTAGTACAACTATAACATAGTTATACTCTATGTTATATATATAAAGATTTTCTCTTATTGAGACCTAAAAATAGTTAAAATTGCAGAGATCACTGTCTGGGCTGTGAGTCCAGTGTTATACGTACTCATGTATTTAGGCTCTTGTGAATACCATTGCTTAGCAATATACTCAGATATCCTTAAGTATGTTTCATTTAAAGCATTTCTGACCTTTTTGAGGGAAACGTAGGCATTTAAACTTTAAAAGTAAAAAGGTAACAAAAGGTCCTATGTGTAACTTTTTCTTATGTACAACTTAACTAGCAATAACCTCTTTACTTGAAATGCAAGAAGGGTCCATGTTCTGGGTCTGACTTACAGATTCATGGCAATTGTAGATATGTTAGATGGTGTTTGTTTGGTAATGAATTTCTGTTATGCTGCTTTTCAGGTCCTGTAGGAGTTGGGCTGAATGAACTGAAGCGGAAGCTGCTGATCAGTGACACACAGCACTATGGAGTGACAGTGCCTCGTGAGTTTTGTGTTGCTATAACTACACAGTAACGATTTCTAAACACTTACAGAGCACCATGGTGCCGAGTTCTGTGCTCAGCATTCACCCTCTAAACCTCCCATCAACGCTGTGTACTATGCAGTGATGCAATTCACATTTTACAGAGGAGAAAACTGAGCACCAGAGGCTAAGGGATTTACCCTGATCACACAGGTTTTTGGTAGAATATTTATTAATTGCAGATTCCTACTTTTAGATTTTCATGATGATTTTTAATTCACACATGACATCAACTTATTGTTTACAAATTTTTATCTAAGTCTCACTATTCTATTTCCTTAAATAAGTGCTAATGTATTCCAGAGTTTTTCACCAATTTTATGATTAAAAGGACCAAACCAGAAAGTGTTGAGGGAGCTTTCTTATAACATGAACCTGTCTTAATTGCCTTTTATGTGTAGTCATTGGCAGATAGTGTTAAATGGGCTTTTCATGGCCACATAGACCAAATATGGTAGGCTTCTTTTCAGTACACAGAATTAGATCTATTTTTAAAAATGGTTTTCATAGGCATTTTTTACAAATGAAATACAATGCTTGAAACATTTTAATCTCCAGAATAAATGCCATTTGACTACTTAATATGTTGATGTTAAGAAAGCCCTCTAAAAGGCTAAATTGAAATGTTGGCTTTTTCAAGTGGTTTTAGTACAGTTAAAAAAATCATTTGTATATTGCTCTTAGCAATGTTCTCTAGTTTTGGAAGAGTTCAACTTTATTTTAAAATTATAGTTTTCTATTACCTCAAGTTACTTCTTGTTACTACATTTTTCCAAATTATTGTTTATAATCATTTTCAGCCATAAGTAACAGGGCTGCTGGTTTCCACCAAGGGAGATGAAAGTAAAGGAAAATGTGGAATTAGACCACTTCTTTTTGTTTTTTCCTTTGATTTACTTCTCTTACATAGGTAATTAGAAAAAGTTGCAAAAACAATTGGTAAGCTGGCAGGTGAGCTGTTATAGAAGAAACCTAGAAGGTATAAAAAACAGATTTCAGTGAAGAAAACAAATTAATAATTTCTTACTGCCTGCTCATTTCCTTAGTGTCTTAATTTATGTAAGCTCCCCTAGCAACTATAGAAGATGGGCACAGAGAAGGAAACAGGTAGAACAGGTACTTTGTCTTACTCAGAGTTCCATAGGTGGTAGTTGCACTTGGATTTGAAGCTAGGTTTTATGACCTCACTTCTTTTGTTCTTTCTCCTGTGTAACACTAGCAATCTCTTCAAACTGCACTCTCTTTATTGTTGCTCAGTGAGCAGTAAAAACTGATTGCTTTTGAAGATAATAAATATCAGTAAGGTTATCCATCAAATTAACCTGCTATGATGGTTTTGGTGTTCTTGAAGATCCAAGAACAAGGCACTTTGGCCTCACCTAATCCAGCCATTAAGATAATATTTGCCTCTGAAGTTAGTGTAGAAGTTGACAATATCCAGGAAGGTTCTGAGGCTTGCACTCTTCAAAGAAATCCTCAGAATAGTTATTTTCCGTTCAGACTCAGTTTTAAATGTGTTACTTTTAAAAGATCCCTATATAACAATGTTTTCCAGACTTGCCTGATAAGAACCCCCTCACATTCTGATGGAAAGATATGCCCACAAGAGTGTATATTCATAGCAAGCATCCCAAGTGATTCATAATGTCAGACATGTTTGGAAAATACAACCACAGTAATCAATTCAGGTTGTTTTAGTTAATTCAAGAAAAATATATTTTAAGAGAAATTTTGTCTTGCTTTGTAAAATTCTTTGAGCAGACTCTGGAATATTAGAGAAAAATTCCTGTTTTGATTATGCTAGTATTCTGTTTGAGATCTAATTCTGTAATTCTCCTTTCTGAAACATATATTAAATATCCACCAAAACAGATAGAGTGAGAGTTGTGGAGCAGTGGAACTCTTGCACATTGGTGATGGGAGTGAAAATGAACTCAACACATATGGTGTGCGTAAACACATATGACCATATTACCCAGCAATTCCACTCCCAGATTTATACCCAACAGAAGTGTGTATGTACATTCAGCAAAAGACAGACTCAGATATGCTTTGAAACATTTATTCATAAGAACCCCAAGCTGAAATCTATCCAAATGCCCTTCAATAGTAGAATAGATAAGTAAATTTATGGTATGTCTTCACATGGACACTAGAATGCAGTGAGGATGAATGATCTGCAGCTGCTCACAATATGAATGAAACCCACAAACAGCATGTGCAGAAGAGGCGGCAGGCACACAAGAGAACATGCATTATGACTCCATTTGTATGAGTACAGTAAAAGCAACAGTAATGTGTGCTGCTAGAAACTTTGTGAAGAGGTTGGCTAGAAAGGAACTCAAGCAGTAACTCCTGAATGCTGGCAGTGCCCTGCTTCCTCTTAAGAGTGCTGGTTACATGGTCATGTCAATCTGAGAATTCATCAGGTAGATATATAACTTACATGTGAATATGTCTGTCGGTGTGTCATTTAATGTTAAAAAGAAACACTTAGTAGTAGTTTAGGTAATTGTAATTTGCTGGTGTTGACTTTCTGGTTTTTGATAAAGTGCAATAGTTATATGAGTCCTATCAGAGAAAATTGAGTGATGGTGACGTGGGACATCCATGTACTATTTTTAAAACTACTTCTGAATCTGTAATTATTTCACTTTTTAAAAAAAGCACAGTTGCACACCCTTTAATGATATGTTATGGCCCATGAAATGCATTGTTAGGCAGTTTCATCACTTAAATGTACATAAACTAGGTTGGCTATAACATCACTAAACTATAATCTTCTAGGACTGCTGCTGAATATGAGGTCCATGATAAAAAATGTCATACAACATTCCTGTATTTACAGGAATGCTAAATCCAGTAAATGTAATTCTTGGGCTTAATGACTGAAAAATAGTTAACAAGAGTTATTGTTATAGGTAGTAAATATTTAGTGGATTCCAAAATCTGTATAGCTGGACCTTGGGCAGTCTTAGTTATGCACACACATGGTTTCTCGTAAAGGCCTATATCACAGATTTTGTGTTCTCATAGATCTCAGAGTACCAAAATTCTATAACACTTCTTTGTCTAAAGGATGCCTCACTTGAGTTTTCCAAACATAATATTCCATGGATGGGGAATGTAGCTCAGTAGTAGAGCATTCACCTAACATGTACAGGCCCTAAATTCCATCCCCAATACTGCAAAAGAATAAAGTGTGTTACATCTTGTAATCTTCTCCTAGGCAAGTTCAGTTCCCTTGCTCAGGATTCCTCCTTACTGAACTTATAGATTAAAATTAAGACACTAAAAATTCTTCATCAGTGAAATAACGTAAGACCTGGCTAATACAGGTTGGTTATGATACACAGACACTTTGATAGTAGACATGTTACCTTTCAGACATGTTCAACAACATCATAAGTATCTCCCTCAATTACCTGTTGATGTAGTTCTAAAAATATCTTAACCCTCAAGGGAGACTTCATGTGTCAGGACAATGATCCCTTCTATAGAAGGGTAAATTTTTAGTAAGTGTCCTGCTTTTACAGTTGAATAAAGACAAACTTTTCTTTGCTCGTGACAAACATATCAATGTAGAAAATTCTCAATTTTGATTTCCAACAAGACTTTTTTCCTAAGTCTACTGTTTGCCAAAGGAATACCTCCAACCATCAACAATAGGCATGATTAAGTAATAAGTGAATTTAGCCCTATTTCAAAAACAGGGCATCATACTAATTTTAGTAACATTCATATTCTTGGATGTGTATTATTTTATATGCTCAACAGAATATTTTTCTGCTGTGAAATTTATTCTTAGTTTTAATGATAGATGAAAATTTATCAGTATTTTACCCTGTTCCTGGAAAGGATGTGATTTTCTGTAAAGAATATCACTACCTCTCCGTGATCCACAAGTGGAACAAGTATAAAACACTGTTTCAGGAAATCTGAGCATCATATTAAACTTGATAACTCAATAAAAAGGAACTAACATTTGGGATATAATTTAAATTATTTGGGCTTTAAAAATTCATTCCTTTTAGTATTAGGTTATTTTTCCCACTTCACATTTTATAGCATTATTAAAATATAATTGAGACATATAAACTGCACATATTTAAAATGTACAATTAGATCAGTTTTAACACCTGTATACACATGTGAAACCATTATCATGGTAAATATAATGAACATTTCCATCTCCTCAAAAAAATTGTATTTTTCCCTGTATGACTGACCCCAGGGAACTACTGGTCTATATTCTATCCCTGTGGTTTATTTGGAATCATCAGTACTTTACTTTGAATTATTCAAGTTGTACCTATTTTTCTCTATGTTCATTCTTTTCCAGCCAGTGTGAGTTTGAGATTCACCCTTGTTGTTTCATGGATCAGTATTTCTTTAGTAGCATTCCTTGGTAGAGAAATACCACAGTTTGTCTGTTTACCAGTTAATGGATGTTTAGAGGTTCCTCTATCATCCCCATTTTTAGCTACTATAAGATAAAGTAATTAAGATAAGTTTATGTGTAAACTTTCAATGGACACATGTTTTGTTTCTCTTGGGCAAGTAAGAATAGCCAGGGTATAGTTTTAAATTTTTTAAAGAAACTACCAGATCTTTTTCCAAGGCCATTAACTATTTTGCAGTCTTCTCGTGCTTGCTGTTTACATGGTATATCTTTTTCTATCTATTTACTTTCAGTGTATCTGTGTCTTCTTATGTGATGTATTTTTCTTATAGACTTGTAAGCAGACATACTAGAGTCTTGCTCTTTAACACATTCTATAAATATCTTCCTTTTAATTAGGACAGATAAATCATAAGTATTTATTGAATTATGCCAATGGATTTAAGCAACAATTCTATTTGTTTTCTGTTTGTTTCTTCTGTATTTTCTTTTTTTGTCTTTTGTGGATTAGCTGAATGTGTTTTAGTATCCCACTTTACCTATTGACTGTCTGGTTTATGAGTCTTTACATTAATTTTTTACTAGTTGCTCTGAAGATTACAATATGCATGTCCTACCATTCACAATCTAGAGTTAATTTTGCCATTTTACATAAAATATAGCAGCTTTGCAACTATATTAGTTCCTTTACACCTACCTTAATCTATGTGTTGTAGTCATTGAGTATATTATATTTGCATACATTGAATACTCTATCAAACAATGTAACTTTTACTTTAAAAGAGTTATATATATATTGCAATGAATTTAAGAGGATAAAAGTAGTCTATTATATTTGCTCAACTATCTGTTCTTTCTTCATTCCTGAAGACACAAGTTTCTTTTTTATCATTTCTCTTCATCCTAAATAACATTATTTCTTTTTTAGCACAGTCTGCTGATGTTCTGTTTTTCCTCATCTGAGAAGGTCTTTACTTTACTTTTATTCTTAAAAGATATTTTGGTTGATAGCTCTTTTCTCTCAGAAAAGATATTATTTCATGGATTTCTTGTTTCTGTGATTGGAGAAAAGAAATCTGTGATAATTTAAATCATTATTCCTTTATCATGTTTTATTTTCCATTTTAAATCCAAGCATTTATTACACTAACAATGTTATACAATCACACCTCCCAGAAGAATGTCCATATCCATTGAGTAATCCTTCTCCATTTATTCTTCCCTTCCCTCCCTGGGTTTATCATGGTTTTTGTTTGTTTTGGTTTTTTGGTTTTTTCTCAGTGATAGAGATTGAACCCATGACCTCATGCATTCTAGGCCAGTGCCCTACCACTTGAGCCATGTCCCCCATCATTATTCCCTTATGTGTACTATATGTTTGCTAGCTATTTTTAGGTTTTTTATTTAATTTATTTTTAATAATTCCGTTATAATATCTAAGGCTTTTCTTTCTGAATTTTCCCTGCTTGGGATCTGCTTAACTTCTGAAAGCTTTAAGTTTATGTCTTCCACCAAATTTTAGAAGCTTAGGGTTATTTCCTCAAATACATGTTTTCTGCCCCAATCTCTTTTTCCTCGCCTTCTGGTACCCCAATTATGTATATGCCAGGCATTTCAACATTTTCATCCAGGTCCTTGGAGTTCTATTTATATTTTTTTCTGTCTCTTTTTCTCTTTGTTCACATTATGTAATTTTTATTACCTGTCATCAAGGTCACTGGCTCCTTTCTCTATCATCTTTATTCTGCTACTGAGCCCATGTAGTGATTGAATCTTTTCAATTCTAAAATTTCTACTTAGTTCTTCTTTTATGGATTCTGTCTCTTTCCTAAGAATTCATGTAACCAGTCAGTTTGGGTGTGTTATCCTTATGAAGCACAGTTACAGTAGTTGTTTTAAAGTCTGTGATCATCTTAATTTCCAGGTCACTCAGGTTTCCATCTGTTTTCCCTTGAGAATTGATCATCTTTTCTTGATTCTTTTGTGTTATATAATTTTGGATTACATTTTAGATACTGTGAATGCTATTTTATATTAATTCCAGGTCCTGTTATAAAATTGTGGAGAATGTCAATGGTATGTATTTATTTTAGCAGGTAATCAACTATGTTATATTTAGACCCTAAGATCTATGTCATTTACCTTTGCTGTGTTGGTTTGGATCTGTCCTGACTGAAGGATTAGTCTGAGACTTTGTGTTCAAGTCTCAGCTCAGTTCTCTAAGCCTTTCCTGCATTGATTTGGGGGGTACACTACTTCCATTATTCCAGGGTTAGACTGAGACTTGTATATTCTAATCACAGTTCAGTTCTTAAATGAATCCGACTATGCTGGTTTGAATCTGAACTGCATGGATAAGGGCAGGAGTTATTCTTAGATTAAGGTTGGTTCATACATAGAATTCAAGTATTTCCTTCTCTGCTTTCTCCCCTTCTGGATTCCCTCCACACTGTACAACCAGCAAGGGCTTCCTCCCCACCCCCATTCTTTTCATCAAAGTATTAGGGCTTCTAGCATGTGTAAGGTCCATACAGGTTCATTCCCTTCCATAATCTCTCTGTTTTATTTATTTTCAAGGTGCTTACAAAATTGTTTGGGGTCCAGAGATTCTATTTGTAATCAGAAAGAAGGGTGGGCTATAACAAGTTTACACTTGCCATATCAATACTAGAAAGCCTTGTGTCTTGTTGCTTGTAATTAATCATACATTGTCTGCTAAAAACAATTAGACAAAATTATTGGAAGGTTGCAAGTTCAGTAGTAATTCTAAGAAGATACTGCTTAGATAATTACATTGGAGTAGTGACCAACATATAAAGGCCCTGGACAAACATTGATGATATACTGTTTCTCCTGTGTAAGGAAGATAATAAAATAATATCAGAGTTTACCTTATAACCTGGTAGACAGCAGAACTCAGTGAATGAAGGTCAAAAAGCAAAGATAATAAAAACATTAATTGCAAAAGAAAGAAGTTTTCCTGAAAGCTTTAAAACATTTATTTATTTAATTATCTTATTAAAGAGTCTTAAAATAATGTATACTAGCACAGACACACATTGCAATTGAATTTTTAATCCACGTTTAAGTTTTAGTATCTGGAAAATCTTAATTTATGACACTTTACTATATTTTATTAGATAATTTGCTTTTTATAGGTTTTTAAATCCTGTGCAGAAAATGACTTTAAATACACTTGATGGTTTCTTTTAAAGATTTTCTTTAAGGCAGCTAATGTAGGCTTTTTCTAAACTCATTTTTTTTAATCAAATCACAGATACCACCAGAGCAAAAAGAAGCCAGGAGAGCGATGGTGTTGAGTATATTTTCATTTCTAAGCATTTATTCGAGACCGATGTACAAAATAACAAGTATGTGGAAATTTTTTAGAATTTTGATATAACTTGTTTTTAAGTATGTGCCTGTATACCAAGTTTTCAATAACTTAGGGTTCCCTACTATTTGAAATACAATTGAATTAATCACAGTGATATTTGAAACCCATAAAAATGTGATAGTAATTGATAGATGTTACCAGTTGTCACTTTTTTTTAACCAATCTAGAGCCTGCTCCATTTATTTTAAACTAAACACATGGGAAATATTTTGTGACATTTGGGAAGGTTGTTAGTGCTGTAATGTGACCTCTTTCCAGCCACTAATTAAATCTCAACATGTAACGTGGGTAGAATTTTATTTTTAAAAATAGTGGATAACAATGTAATGTTTTCCTGGTCCCACAGTCTCTTTCATACTACACATCTCATTCTTACATTGGCACTTCAAAAAACTGAAATAAAGTTAACCACCTTGCATTTACTGTCTAGCTCTAAGAGGCCCCACTCCCAGCTTTTCCATTTATTTAAGCATGAGTACTTCAGGATATCAAAAGCAATGTGTGTTTTAATGCAGGACTGAGGGATTTTACTGAAACATCGAAACACTTTCCTCACGTTTGGTGAAGTGATTGTGTTTTTATAGCACATAATCACTGCCCTGGTTCCATTAGCCACCACCCAGCTCCTATAGTTCTGAAGCCGAGCGTGGTTACTCTGTAGTGTGCAGTGAAATTCCAGTAGTTTCTATTGTTTGGCTTGTCCACTGTTTTATTGCATTGCATTAGTTCTGAAAAAGGGGTGATGGAAAACATTAGAGTTCTGCTGGACCAAAGTACTTTTCTGTTTAAGTGTAACACAAGCAAGTGTTGCTGATTGAAAATGTAGACGATTTTTCAAAATTGACATTTGCTGAAGAACTTGGCCCTGTTTATTTTATTAAACACATTAAAAAAAAATTACATGTTCAGCAAAAATATCTTTTTACCTATGAATTATTTCTTGCTACCTGTATTTTTTTATTCACAAATGATTCTGATACAACTTTAATTTTCCACAGGTTCATTGAATATGGCGAATACAAAAACAACTACTATGGCACAAGTATTGATTCAGTTCGTTCTGTCCTAGCTAAAAACAAGGTTTGTTTGTTGGACGTTCAACCTCATGTAAGTAAAACAGTGAGCTGTTCAGGACCTTATGACCCATGTAATCTATCATATTTCGTGTGAGGTTTATCTAAAGTCTGTTCATTTAAATGCAATTTGAGACATATTTGCTGAGGGTATTAGAAAAAACGGAGTGACCAAAGTACCCAGATCCATGTGTAACTTTTGTTTGTATGCATTCAGGTTCAGTGACACTCTTAGATTTATGTATGTATTTCACATTTTAAAAATGCATTACAATGTTGCATGCATAATGTTTTGAGTTATGTATTACTGTGTTTATAATTTATCAGTGAACATTTTGGTTCTCAGTCCTTTTTCTTTGATTTTGATCCTATACATGTCCTAAAAGCCCAAAACTTCACTAGAGCTGCTGGGCATTTACCAGAAATTGTACAGCTCCCTATAGCAGCTTTCAGGCAGACTTCACTCATCACCCTGGAAACATCACCCTGGAAACTCAAGTGAACGTTCTGGGCTGAGAATGCCAGTGGATGAAGCATCCAATTGCTTGCCAAAGCACTTATCCTTCTACTGATACCCAATCCACAGTATTGCCCTGGTCCTCCAGGGGACACAAATTCTCCCTCCACTAATAGCAGCACCCTGGGTGCTCAGCTTCCATTTGTCATAACCACTGCAGAAGCCTTCACACCTCTTAGGCAGGCAGAATCTGGATCTTGAGAGTCGTGAGTTTCAGCAAGAAACTGATTCCAGCCAGGCACCAGCAGGGGGTGGGATGGTCTGTCACTTCCAAATGCCCTCTTAGTATCTACCTTCACTCCAGTGCCTCCTCTGTGCCTCTGTTCCCCTCCATACCACCCCTCTCTGTCAGTCTATCATGCCCACACATACCATAACCTTGTAGTGGAGAAGTTCTGACATAGACACTTAGACGCCCCTTAGCTCAGTCACTCATCCTAAACTGTAGATGAGTCCCAAGAAGCAGAGAGTATATAAGTGTAAATAAAATAAGACACTTGAAGAGGGAATGCTAGCAGTTATTCATAGAGAGCAGGGGCTACCTGTGAGGGCCCTATGAAGGGCAGAATGAAAGAAAAGAACCCTGCTTACCAAGATGGCCAGGAGACTCAGCACAGGTGGTTATTTACCACATCGCATCTTTGTGGCATTTGATTTAAAAAACAGTCTCATGGTGTTTTTGTCACTTGTGTTCAACATTAATGATGGTGTATCTCAAAGCATTTTTAAATATATAAGTTATATTCTGTATCTTTTTTTTAGGGCTATTTATCACCTGTAACTGTGAATTGATTGAAAAATAATATATTGAAAGACCTACTGATCTTAAGTACAGGATAATTTTAAGGATGTTTCTTTTTAGGCAGAAAATTCAATAATTTATGGCTAAGAAGAAATACAAGGAAACTCTTTTCTTCTTTATAGACAGTGAAGCATTTAAGGACACTGGAATTTAAGCCCTATGTGATATTTATAAAACCTCCATCAATAGAGCGTTTAAGAGAGACAAGAAAGAATGCAAAAATTATTTCCAGCAGAGATGACCAAGGGGCAGCCAAACCCTTTACAGTAAGTGTGATGATGCTTGATGATAATACCTGAGCACTATGTAAAGCATCTGTGCAGCTGTGGAGACTCAAACTATTAAAGATGAAGTCATGATCAAAGATTTGTAAGAGGTAGAAGTATATTTTGGTATATATATTTTTAATGATTGCACTATAGTTTGTTTTCATGCTTCTTTGGATGGATCTTCACATTAACTTGACTCAAAACCAGTTTGCAGGACCAAGGATGCAGCTGAGTAGTAGAGCACTTGCCTAGCAGGTGCACAAGCCCTGGGTTCCATCCACAGCACTGCAGAAAAAGAAATTATTTTGGTTTATTTTTTTTTTATGTGTACATGATAAGTTTTTCTAGGCCACTTAGTTTTCATTCTAAATTAACCTTATTTTTAAAATTTAAAAATACCAAAATCAGTTACTATTTATCATTAATGATCTAAATAAAACTGCAATAATTTGCCTTCTAGTATCAGCAATCATATTTATCACAGTAAAAAAAAACATTTTGGGCACAGAACTAATATTGAACAATATTCAACAGTAGTATTTATATTTCCTATGTGTGTTATTAGACATAATGAAGATATATTTGTGGCTATTATGGCCTCTGACAAAGCTTTGTAAAATTGTTTTTGTTTTCATTCTTAAAATAATGTATTCTACCCTTGCATCAAAAATAAATGAAGATGCTAAATGTCAAGAGTTTAGCTTTAGTCTGTATTAACCTATAAACTGTTCATTTTAGTTACTAAATACAGGTCTTGTTTTGTTTTTGTTTGTTTTTTGGTTTTGGGGTTTTGTTTTTGTTTTTTTTTTTTTCCGTACTGGGGCTTGAACTCAGGGCCTACACCTAGAGCCACTCCCCCAGCCCTTCTTTGTGATGGGTTTTTTTCAAGATATGGTCTTGTGAACTATTTGCCCCAGCTGGCTTCAAACTGCGATCCTCCTGATCTCTTCCTCCTCAGTAGCTAGGATTACAGGCATGAGCTACTGGTGCCCAGCCAAGGCTTGTTTTTGTTTCCCAGTATTTGATCTTTTCTCTAAAATACTGACAGTATTTATCTATACTGAGGAGATGCTATCATATGGTAGTCAAGGCTCTTGATTAATGCTAAACTTAAATTTTGTGTTGTAAAATCATATGTGACATTGAAATGCAGATTCTGGAATTATTTCAGAATATTATGATTACTTCAGATATTTCAGATAAATTATATATATATATATATATATATATATATATATATATAAATTTAAAGGTTTCTTGGTAATTGTAATAAAGGATTGCCTTACTCATCCATGTATCACTTTTATAATCTTAAATTTGATAGCCAACCAAAATACTTACCATTAAAAACATAGCCATGAAGGACTCTTGAACCACTTAGTGAGCCACAGGAAAAACGTGTTAACTATCCTTTTACAATGCTATCCAACCTTAAAAATGTCATGTGTGTTATAAATGCCTCTCTATGAGCAAGCATAAATAATGCAACCTGTACACAGTACTTTTCAGTATTTTAATACTTACACATTCATGTAAAGATTAGTTAGTGACTGATTATCCTGAAATGCAGCTAAGAATGGTTTTGAATCTTCTCAGGAGTTTAATCACAAGTAAATCAGAAATTATTAGAAGTTGGGGTTTGTGAAAAAGTCATGGTTAAAGAAGGTAACTTTTATTTCTGGCTGAGGTGAGAGGCTGAATACAGACAGTTTTAGGTAAATCCATTGCAGGATGTTTTGCATTGATATGAAGTGAGATAATTGCCTGCTTGACCAATTTTTTAAATCATTTTATTTGTAGGAAGAAGACTTTCAAGAAATGATTAAATCTGCACAGATAATGGAAAGTCAATATGGTCATCTTTTTGACAAAATTATAATAAATGATGATCTCACTGTGGCATTTAACGAGCTAAAAACAACTTTTGACAAATTAGAGACTGATACCCATTGGGTACCAGTGAGCTGGTTACATTCATAACTAAGGGAAATTTCCATAATTGTCTTTTTTATAGAGTGCATGATTGAATCATTTGCCATTTTCTTGGTAGAGGGTTTTTTAAATCTGTATCACTGTCATAAATGTACAATCTTGGTAAAAACTGAATGCCAGTTTTGTTTATATCTTTTTACAGTCTTATTTAAAATACAGTATATGACTGTAAAATCTAAAAATCAAAATTTGCACAGTACTATATTCTGAGCAAAACTCTGAATTTACCTTAAGTAAGTGGGCTTCGTATTACAGCTTGAGACGTTCTTGTAGATATGTATCAGTAACCCAACAAATATTTTATAAGGAAAATAGACTGTTTTTTTGAGATGAGGATGTCAATATGTTATCCAGGCTGGCCTCAAACTCACAGTTCTTCTGCCTCAGCTTCCCAAGTAGCTGAAATTACAGGCATATGCCACACCAGCTTGGAAAATAGGCTTTTAAAAATTACTATAAGGGCTGGAGGATTGGCTCAAGAGGTAAAGCACTTGCCTAGCAAGCGTGAGGCCCTGAGTTCATGCCCCAATGCCATAAAAAAAGAAAGAAAGAAAAGAAAAAATTATTATAAATGTAACTAAAAACCATTCCCAATGGTGGTAGTAAGAATGGTAGTGTCTTAGAGCAAGAAATGATGACAAAGGACATATTCCTTTGTAAATCCTCAGAAGACATTTCTGGTGTCACCATAAAGAGTTTTTGTTTTTAGTTTGTTTTAGGTTTACTCAGTAAATCATAAAAATTTGACTATTATTCTAAAACACATTTTACATGCTAACAATTCAGTTAATGAAAATGTGATCATTTTTCCAATTTGTGCAGTTGATCACTATACATTTAAATTGTGCTAAAATGTGTTTTCTAAAACTTCCTACATGATGTTAAATTCTTTGTCACGATGATTCTTAACACTGGCAGACACCATCCTAATCCTGCCATTGTTAAATAAGTGTGAGAAGGACTCTTACGTTGTAAATATGTAGATGGTGTTGCTCAGTTTTTTTCAGTACTACTAATCTTCACCAAGTGAATTAATGATATAGTTCAAAATCCTGCAGATGTCCACAGGTTCTATAAGAGAACATGTCCTGTTGTTCTTGAATGCATTAAGATCCTGCTGATTGAAAATCATTGCATCTGTGACTTTCATCCAAAAAATTACTTTTTGTTGCTTTGTAAAAAGTTTAAATATCATCTTTAAGGAAAAATAGAATATAGTGAAATTTTATATATTTATGAGATATTTTGAAAGGCATATTTTTTTAACAAATGGGGCAATTCATAAAATTGATTATATGTAAAGATATCATAATTTAAAATGGTACTTTATAAATCAAGGTCAACATTCCATGTAAATATCTGACCTTTACACATATAGACCTACACATGTGTTTTGTGCACTACACATTTGGTAGCATTCATCGCTGGATTTTCTTCAAATACGTCAAATTACATATTAGAAAGAGAGACAGATACTAACTACTCCAGTGGCCTTGATACAGATTCATACCAGAATAGCCAGATAATCAGACTAACATAATACAAGTGAGTTATTAATTAAATAGCAGGCCATTCAATTCAAAGCAAAAAAGTGAGGAGCATGGTTACCAAATCTGAAGCCATATGTTAAAGTTGTATGGCTGGTCTAAGAGAAGTACAAGTCTTAATAGTTAGTTTGAGTGGACTATTCTGTTCTTTGAACATTGACTAAAATTTCCCATAAAGCAAGACATCCTGAAACAACACAAGTTAGAAATGTACAATAATATATGAAATCCAATTAATAATTTAGGCAGCCGTATTCTTTACTCTGAATATCTACATTGATATTTTGTCTTCATTTGCAGATTATTGCCTCAATTTTTATTTGGGGGATAGAGATAGTATGAGGTAGTTAAAAACTGAATTCTAGGTAGTGGTGGTGATGGGGATGTTATAAAAATATAACTGTCCAGACCTTTCTCCCCTTTTAGACCAGAGCAGAACAATATTTTTAAAATAATGAAAAGCAATTTGAGAAATCAGGTGGTGTACATAGCCTTATAAGTAATGTTTCTTGGTGATTAAGAAGAGATGTGAGTAAATTTTAATAAGAGATGCCAATCCAAGGTCTTGTTGGTAACTATATAAAAAAGCTCTTGATCCTGTACTTCGTTCACCCTGTCCCTGTCTCCCCCAAAGCACTATGCTCCTCACTTACAGAAGCCTGCTCCCAAGATGGAGCGTCAGCCAGTATTTGAGAGAAGACGAGTGGTTAATTTCTCACGTCTATATATTTAAAATCCAAGACCAAGAAGGGAATTCTGTGCTCCCATTCCAACTTCTAATTACAGTTGGTTAAAAATAAAAAGGTGAAATTGAAGTACAATCCTTACCATGATTTTATTGACCAAGATGAAAACTCTTGATATCTTTAAGGCTGACATTCCTGGCGTTGTATAATGATTGAATGTATCTAAATTGTGCTAACTTAAAATTGTCAAACATGTAAACTCAGATTTACAAAAGTATGTTGTTAAAAGCTTCCTAAAGATACAGAGTTTATTATTTATTTTCTTTTGGAAGAGGAAGGATTTATAGATAAAGACAGTGGAAAACCTTTTATCTTAATAAAGTATCTTCAAACAATATATGTGTTTGGAAATTTTTTTACACTTGAATATTCTGTTTTGTTGTATTATTATGTTCTATTGTATTGTACTATTTCTCATGGTAAGACAAATTCCCTATGATATGAAGTGCATTCCCTTTCATCTTGCCATGTCTGCAATTCAGTTTTATGTAAAAAAATTAATACTGGCCTTGCTGTAACAGTTAAGCCAATTCGCCTCAGGCCAATTGTTTTCACAGAAAGATTGTATGATGTATCAGTTTAAAGTTTGGACTCTGAAGCCAGAATACAATTCTGACCCTAAAGTAGAGGATGATAAAGGCCAATCTTCTGAGTACAATATGGATAAGAATTTAGCCTCAAAATTCAGTTTACAGAAAGTTGGTTTGGGATTTAGAAAACATGATTGTGTTCTAATTTCATCAGTCACTCAAAATATCTTATAAATTAAAAGTCTGACCAAACAGCTGAGCCTACCATTTTGAGCAAAATAACACCTATTTAATTGCTTAATCTGATTTGGGTTATAAGACTATTAAAAAATTTCTATTTTTGAGCCTTGGTTCTGTGCCAGGTAATTTGCTACTTAGTAGTATATAAATTGTGACTGTTGAGTCCACTTAAACAGAAAAATTGTATAGATATAAATTTAACAATTGGTTTAAAACAATGTAATTGCTGTAAATGTTAAGGAAAACTACATAGTAGTAACATCAAAATGTTGCTGTCAAGAAGATACCAAAATAACTGAGAATGGAAGAAAGAGGGAAAAAATACAGATCTATTTAAATATTAATTAAATAACTATTTCTTAATAGTTTGGAAATAATCACCTGTGGAACTCAAAGTAAATACAAAGAAGAATCAAAAAGAGAATCTATAAAATGAGAAGCCATACACAAGACCACATGTGTCCCTTAAAACAAATTTAAATGTCATAAATTCATGTAGTATGAGGCAACTTTTTAATTGAACATCAAGAAATGAAACCAACACATACTTCCAGAGGAGAAAGATTTCAAGTAATACAACTAGAAATAATACGAAGCAAATAGAAAGCACAATAAAATCACAACTGAACTCGGCACTCACTAATTGGATCAAAAGGACTTTTTTTTTGGCGGTATCCTAGTTTTGAACTCAAGGCTTCATACCACACACTCAATTTTTTAAGCTCTTAGTTATTTCTCAGATAGGGTTTTGTGTTTTTGCCCAGGCCAGCCCTAGACCATTATCTACATGTAGCTGTGATTGCAGGCTCATACCACCATACCCAGCTTACTGATTGACATGGGTTCTCACTAACTTTTTGCATGAGCTGTCCTTGAGCCTTCCAGTCTCTGCTTCCCAAGTATTTCAGGTGTGCACCACCATACCTGGCTAGAAAGTCCTTTGGTTAAAGGACTTTGGTTAAAGGCAAAAGAAGGAAGAACATTGACAGCATAAAGCAAAAACTTGAGAAACAATCAGCAAAGCCACATTTTATGTGATAATCCCTAATACATGTCCCAGACACACTGAAGAAAAATGGTTGTAGAGGGTCTGAATACCGTAATTCCTCAGGCTGAACTCATAACCATGAGAAGAATGTTTTGTCCTAAAAACTGAGATTATACTTTCTACTCAAGAGCTCTATGGAACATTTACAGAAAACAATCCTAAAGTTGACCACAAGGAAAAACTAATTACATTCCAAAATATTTACTTCAGATTACACTTTCTGGCTATGGTCCAAAGAAATGAATAACAAAAAGCTAGAAATATTTTTTCAATTTTAATATATTCTGATCATTAAGGAAATAGAAATGAAATGATAGATTATCCAGAAGGTAACAATGACACTATCAGGATCTGTTAAATATGACTGAAACTGTGAAACTGAGCATAGGAAAATTTGTCACTTTATAAACTTTTCTAAGGAAAACAAAAAGACATTGGCTAAAACAACTTGGGAAAAAATAACATGAGTACTATTTTGGCAAGGCTATTATATACACTGAATTTTCCAGGAATTCACTACTACATAAATCAAAGGAAGATTATACTTCATTATTTTCATAACTTCACCAAGGGCTTTTCACCATGTGGGACGTCATGTCATGAATGGCAGTGCCACTGGTGGAGTGTGAGTGTTCAATGTGGCATGTTTGCACCCTCCCTCACCGTGGTACACTCAGTGCCATGCTCGCTACCCAGTGCATTGTCCCACCCCCTTCCCAGTACTATACAAAAGCAATTAAACTTCATCGTGGGTGTCCAAAGAGACAAATATTCAAACCATAGCAATGGTATTTGGTAGTTTCATTTTTCTTGAACTCTAGATTCTCATACTCAACAGAATGAGATTTTCTCTCTCTTGATTAACTACCACATGCAAAAAA